GCCGAGCACACAGGCCCTTTGGAACCGGGGTCTTAGCGTTGTTGTCCAGTGGTCAGAATGTCCGACGGAGCTGGGGGGAGGGGCGGGGAGAGAAATTCCAGTGGCCGAGCGGCCCCTCCAGGGGCCCGGAGGTGGGGGTTCTCGAGGACCCCTCTGTCTGCGTCTGGGAGGACAAGGGGCCGCAGGGGCTCTTTTGTGGCGTGGAGCTGACAGACAGCTAGAATCAAGCTAAGCGCTCTGTCAGACGTGGCTGGCGTCACCTCCTCTGATCAAAAGTGATACCCTGAGCGAGACTGTAGCAAGGGGGTGAGCGCGGGGCCTTCGCCCGCTGCTGTGCGACCTTGGGCCAAGGTGACCTCATCCTCCTTGGGCTCATCCCCATCTGTAAATGGGAGCGATACTGTGAGTACCTCCCAGCGGTTGCAGGGGTCAAACGAGTTCGTTTTGCGAAGCGCTTAGAACAGGGCCTGGTACCCAGCGTAAGCTCTGCAGGCATCCGCACCCGCTAGACTTACCGCCCTGGTGATGTCAGCATCCTTTGCCTCTGAATGATGGGAAGAAAAGCATCCTCCAAAATGCATTTCACAAAGCGCCGGTTCATTGCGGGGGTTCGTGTGTATCCCACCAGAAGAGAAAACGTCCGTGTGGCGTGTGACTTAGGAGAGGCGGACTTGGTTCCTGCGGGGATTCTCAGAGCCATCAGCCGGCCGCCGGCCCGGACACCCCCCAGAGGATGATCATCATTCCGTACCGCAGCAGCCTCTTTCCCGAGCAGAACTGTTAGCATCTCCCAAAATCGAAAGCGCCGGCGGGAATAGTGCAGTTTTGACCATGTCACACTCCCTCATCACCCCTGACGCCCCAAATCTAGCCCGTGCAAAGCCAGCATCCTCCCGGGGGGCACCGGGACAGGGCGGCGGGCTGCCCCCGGGCCCCCCACGCTCCTCTGTGCTCTGTTGCAGTGGAATTTCCCCCTCCTGATGCTGGCGTGGAAGCTGGCGCCCGCCCTCTGCTGCGGGAACACCGTCGTGGTGAAGCCGGCAGAGCAGACGCCCCTCACCACGCTCCATCTCGGCTCCCTGATCCAAGAGGTAAGACGTCCGCAAAGAAAATAGGATGGGTCCTCCATAACGTCCCCACTCCACCACCCACCGAGCCGTGCTTCAGGACAGTGCTCCCTTGCTCACAGCTGAGTGGGACGGCGGTGACAGCCAGATGTCACGTTTTATCTCCTGCTTGGAGACACACATCGTCCCTCCCTCTGGTCCCACGAGCAGGCTTCATTCTCATCCGGGGTTCGCACCTACACTGTCGGACCTGTTTTCTCTGGAGAATTTGCAGGCGAGTCGCTTGGGAGGGGACCGGATACTCGGAGGGCCTTGGGGCCTCGCGTTTTGCGCTGTCTGAAACGGCCTGTGTGTCCTCGGAGGGGGGTGATCTTGGCAGCCCTCGCCGAAGTGGCTGTCACCCAGCCGGACTCACCGACGCTCTGCCCTCGGACAGGCCAGCTCGGGGAAACAAGCGGCCCATAGGGACACCTCGTTCTAGATGCCCTTGGCAACACGTTTCGGTCATTCCGTCCCCAGCTCGTGTGTGACAAAGATTTTAAAGAAGAAAAGAGGGGTGGGAGGAAAGTTCTGTTCGGGTCCCTTCTCCACGGAGCTGCGAGGTCAGACGCGTGACCTTTCCCGCTTGGGTGTGAGGCGGGCGCGGCCAGAGATTGCCCAGGTCCCCGTGCCCTTGGACCAGGGACCTAGGACACGATTAAGTCATGTTAATGAGACTTAGAGATTCTAAAATTGGAACCGTTAAAAAACAGTGTTTAGAAAAAGCAAAGTCTCAAGCACCGTCCCCTAAAAACTTGCCTCCTAAAACGACGAGTTTCAGGGGGGACCCCGGGGCACGTGGGAAGGAGCAGCCACACCCCATCCGTCCGTGGTGGCGTCCTTGTTTAGTCAGGGCGGGAACGTGACAGAAATGGCAGCTGCCACCTTCAGGGAGTGCCGGCTCGGCGTGTGGCCCAGGTTCAACAAGCAGGAACTCCGGAGCAGTGACGTCTTGTTGCCATTTGGTACATGAGTGGGGCGGATTTAAGAAACGCAAACGGAAGCTCAGAGATGACATTTTGTGGGTGCCTGTGAGCCTTAGGCGTTGTGACAAAGGTGTCCCTTCACCCCAACACACAAACACACATACACACACAGAGAGACAGACACACAGACATACACATAGACAGACACACAGAGAGACAAACACACAGACACACATAGATACACAAAGAGACAAGCAGACACATAGACACACACACATAGACAGACACACAGGGACAAACACACACACATAGACACAGATAGACAAACACACACACAGACAGACAAACACACACAGACACACACACATAGACACACAGACAAACACACACATAGACACACAGAGAGACAAACACACACACACACGTAGATACACAGAGAGACAAACAGACACACAGACACACACATAGACAGACACACACAGACAAACACACACACATAGAAACAGAGAGACACACACACATACACAGACAGA